GCGAAAGCGAGTAAAATATAAATAACGTTACTAAGCAAGACTTTTGATTGTTTTATTTCTCGAAAACTATCTACTATATTAAGTGTGTATAATTTTTTTTTGAGGTACTATTTAGGTACAATTTATTTGGTATAGCCATATGTTATAAACAATGGCCAAAATAAAAATAAAAAATAGCACACCCGCCATATTGACGTCAATATAGCGGCTGTAACTTAATTTCGTTATAATAACCTTCTAGATATGGTACAATTTTTTTTGAGCGAGGTACTAATTAGTACATTTTAGGTACATTTTTTTAGTAAGTGGTATAATTTAATTCGCGATGGTACACCCGCCATTTTGACTCTCACCGATAACGCTGTTACATATTTTAAATCTCGTTTCAGTAACCGAATATAAAATTCGTTATTTTAAAATAATCTTGTTAAAATATATTTTTATTTACAAAATCACTGCAATTTATTTCATAATTTTCATAAAATAACTAAAGTCAAAAATCAAAATGAATTTTAAAATTGAAAAAAAAAAAATTTACATATGAAAAAAATCGTAATTTCCGATTTCTGCTTAAAATATTTTAAAGTATTTTTTTTATACATTTTTAATTTAATCTTAATTGAAATATATTTATATAATGTGTAAAAAAATTGTCTTTTAAAGTTTCGTTTTATCTTGATTTTTCTGATTTTAAATTGAAAAACAAAAAATCTCATGAAACTTAACTATTGATTTAACTAAGTTATTTAAATTGATTTTCTAAACTTAACTACAAAATCAACATTTAGAACCCAAAAACATAAAAATTATGTTTTTTTTATATTTGATTTCAAATAAATTTTATCTTTCAAACAAACTAATAATTTCTAGTTCATATAAATTTATTTTTTTATAAAACGTCTGTAATTTTGTCTATACGTCAAAAAAAACTTTTTTTTTATGATTTAGTAAGAAACATTTACAATAACTCATTTCTTGTTTCAAAAAAAAACCTAAATCCAAAACCGTTTTTACGATAACTTCATAAACTCCAAAAAATACCGAAAAAATACAGACAGAAGTCACATCACTTTGGCTAACATTTTTTTTTTAGCAAAATCATTACAAGATGGCCGCCATGTTTGAATCTGACGTTTACGTGTTTATATTTTATTTTTAATTTGGACCTAACTAAAAATATAAACTTAATTAAAAAAATAACATTAAAAACCTAAATTTTATCAGAAATATGAACGTCAGAGGAACAAATGGAGATATATTTTTCTATACTAAGCGACGGTTTCCATATAAAATACAAATATAACCTAAAAATTATTTCGATTACACGCCTAAGTTTCATATATTCTTGATTATATTAAAATATCATCTTTTTTTTAGAAACTATAATGGAATTACATATTTTTTATACATTTTAGTTATTTACTTAGTTATATATCAGTCATAGGACATGATTTTACTAATAAAAATATAAATAGTAACTAAATATAATAAAATATAATATAGTTTATTTCAAAATTAATATATAAATGATTTATAAAAGAAATCATTCATAAATATCTATTATTACAAAAAAAAATGATAAAAACATTAAATTCAACATATTTATTGACTTTAGCTATATTTTATAATGAAATAAATTATATTTTATTTATTATATGCAGTAACTATACTTATCAATAGATTTTGGTCTGTTACATTATGTACATTAGGAAATATATACTTCAGATAGCGTATAGCTTCACCGCTGGCGTTACCTCACTTATAACATTATTTTTAACACAAAAAACACTTTGTAACTATTCAAAGACGTGAAAAAATCAAAACAGACCCCCTAGGGGGTCACTATTTGAAGAAATATTTAGGGTGTACAATTCAAAGTATGGTGTACGGAGTCTACAACACTTTGGGGGTCACAACTTGAAGAAATGAAGAGTTCACTGTAAATGTCTATGTATGGGGTCTACATTAAACTTTGGGGGTCACAACATAGAGAAATATACATCGAGTTTACTGTAATATTTTTTTTGCATGGGGTTTTAGACACTTGAGGGGTCACAACTTAAAGATGTCCACAGGATTTACTGAAACTTATTGTTCAATATGGTATTTATAAGACACTTTGGGGGTCACAACATAAAGTAACATATAGGGAGTTCACTGAAACAATTTTTTTGTATGGGGTCTTTGAGACTTGGGTCAGAACTTAAATGAAAGTTCAGAGCGTAGTAACTAATTGTAATTTATAGGGTTTACGAAAGACACTTTGGGGGTCACAGCTTAAAGATATTTAGGGATTGAACTAAAACTATTTTATAGGGATTTACTAGACATTTTGGGGGTCACAATTTTAAGAAATATGGGAGGTTGTCTGAAAACAATATTTGTATGGGGTCTTCGAGACACTTTTGGGGGGTGCACTAAAATTTGTATGGGGTCTTTAAGATAGTTTTAGGTGTTTTTTTGTTGTCTTAGGATGTGTCGTCCTCCCTGCGGCGCGCCGCCACTATAGTGAGGTCGGGGCGCGTGCGCATGAGGGCGGAGGGCGAGGGCGCAGCGCCCGCGCCGGACGCGGAGCCCTCGCGGAGGGACTCTATCGATGCCACACGGATTGAAGGCCATTTACCACCTGAAAAAGCGTTTTTACAGTTAAAACTTACGATAATTAGATCACTGATTTTTTAAAATTTCTCAGTAAATTAGATTGATACTATTAAAAGCCTATAAGTTAACAATATTTTTATATAGATAAAAAAAATGTCAAATAAAAAGCCCTACGACATTTTAGGCTATATATTTTCCCGCTATTGAACTTAGTATATGGTCGTCCATACTGATATTATTAAGAAGAAAGATTTATATATTTTTTATTGAAATAACTCAAAAACTACTGAGCCGAGTTCAAAAATTCTTTCACCATTAAAAAGCTACGTTATCAGTGAGTGACATAGGCTACATTTTTATTATTTTTTGTTAATTCCACGCGTGTAGTCATATATTATATACTTACTGGTGGCAGGTTGTGCGGCATATTGACATTTGTCATGCGGACTCGTGACCCCCGGGCCGCTGTCCTCATCTGTCATATTACCCAATAACTTTTTACTCTGTAACAATAGGATTTTTTTAATATAAATGCAAAAATTTTGATGTTTGATAACGTAAGGGGGAGTGTAATATTTGTGGGTTAATGTTGGGGGGAGTGTAATATTTGTGGGTTAATGTTAGGGGGAGTGTAATATTTGTGGGTTAATGTTGGGGGGAGTGTAATATTTGTGGGTTAATGTTAGGAGGAGTGTAACATTTTGTAGGTTGTTAGGGGAGTGTAACATTATGTGGGTTAATGTTAGGGGGAGTGTAACATTTTGTGGGTTAATGTTAGGGGAGTGTAACATTTTGTGGGTTAATATTAGGGACTTATTGGGGGTGTTTACCTTGTCGGTGTGCGGCGACTTGCGCGGCTTGTGCGCGGCGCTGACTGTGCGTGTGCGCATCTTGACTGTCGAGTCCATTTCTATCGGTATTGGCTCAAATTCTAGAATATAGTTTATTAGCTACATATAGTCGAACATGGATAAGTGACAAAGCTAAATAAATAAAAATCCTCTATTTTCCGATTTAAAAAGACGACTGAGACTTCTACATGCGAGAAACTCGGTGTTTATATTTATAATGTTAAAATTCAAATACACAAATAAAAGTAATGGTGATGGGGTGTAAGGGGGTGTATGTATGTTGGGAGTACCTTTGTCAGAGGGGTACCTCTAACAGTACTTTTATCTGAGGGTACCTTTTCCAGCGGGTATCTTTATTAGTACCATTATTCGGGAGTACCTTTGTCATAGGGTTCCTTTGTCAGGAGGTACATTTATCGGTACCTTTATCTGAGGGTACCATTGTCATAGGGTACTTTTGTCAGTACTTTTGCCAGTAGGTACCTTTATTGGTTCCTTTATCTGAGGGTACCTTTATCAGTACAGTTGCCAGTAGGTGCCTTTATTAGTTCCTCTATCTGAGTATATCTTTGCTAATGGGTAACTTTATCTGAGGGTGCTTTTTCCAGTGGGTACCTTTATTGAAACCTTTGTCAGGAGGTACCTTTATTAGTACCTTTATCTGAGGGTACCTTCGCCAGAGGGCATCTTTATTAGTACCTTTATCTGAGGGTACCTTTATTAGTACCTTTATCTGACGGTACCTTCGTCAGAGGGTACCTTTATTAGTACCTTTGTCAGAGGGTACCTTTTTTAGTACCTTTACCTGAGGGTATCTTTATTAGTACTTTTACCTGAGGGTACCTTTGCCAGTAGGTACCTTTATGGAGGAGAGTGTGGGGTGTATGGGGTGAGTACCTTTGTCAGCGGCGAGGTCGAGCACGTACGCGGCGAGGTTGGCGGGCGCGACGCCGAGCGCCAGCGCGGCCGCGTCGCGCGTCACCTCGCCGCGCTGCAGCCGCTCCAGCACGTCCGCGGGGCCCGCGTGCCACAGCTCGCGGCTGCTGCACACACTGACACATATCATATTAATATTATATAAATGCGAAATACCATGGATGGATGTTTGTTAGCGTTTGTAGCCTAAACGGCTGAACGGATCTACATGAAATTTGACACAGGTTTAGAGCATATTCTGGAAGAACACATAGGCTACTTTTTATCCCGAGATTGTTACGGTTCCCGTGGGATTCAATTATTTAGTTTTTTAATGTTTACTCGATCATTCTGCAACGGTTCAACATATCTTATTGAAATTTGGCACAGATATAAAACAAAGTCTGAAGTACACATGGAGTAAGGTCCGAAAAATGTCTGGTTCTCGAGGGATACGTAGCTTTTTCTTATTTATATAGTTCGTATGTTTTCTAATACCACGCGGACAAAGTCGCGGGCAACAGCTAGTATCATTTACTACCTGTTGCTCGCATAAAAATATAAATCTCTCTTTTTTATTATATTAAGTATGGAGAATTGGACAGTTTTTGACAAAACTTTTACGGCCCTTTGACGAGACTTTAACGGGAATACATCTAATATATGCAGGAATAATATTTTTGAAAACCCTACAACAGTAAGAGGCGACAGTATAAGTGTGGTATAGTGAGTTACCGGTAGGGCCTGTTAATGCAGCCATACACGTCCCGGTAGCGGCCGTACAGCGTGCCGTAGCTGACGCCGAGCAGCTCCGCCGCGTGCTTCATCTCCAGCTCCTTCAGCCGCACCGCCTCCATCACCTGCCGGTGGCGACAATTGACAACACGTGGAATACATGACATGTTAGGTTCCAGGTGGAATTTAAGATGCCGGGTGGCGCATACGATGCCCGGTAGAGTATTAGATGCCAGATGAAGTATAAGATACCAGGTGGGATATAAGATGCCAGGTGGAATTTAAGATGCTAGGTGGAATTTAAAATGCCAGATGGAATATAAGATGCCAGGTGGCGCATAAGATTCCAGGTAGAGTATTAGATACCAGATGGAGTATAATATACCAGGTGGGATATAAGATGCCAGGTGGGATATAAGATGCCAGGTGGAATTTAAGATGCTAGGTGGAATTTAAAATACCAGGTGGAATTTAAAATACCAGGTGGAATATAAGATGCCAGGTGGAATTTAAGATGCTAGGTGGAATTTAAAATACCAGGTGGAATTTAAAATACCAGATGGAATATAAGATGCCAGGTGGCGCATTAGATTCCAGGTAGAGTATTAGATACCAGATGGAGTATAATATACCAGGTGGGATATAAGATGCCAGGTGGGATATAAGATGCCAGGTGGAATATAAAATGCCAGATGGGATACAAATAGCCAGATAAAGTATAAAATGCCAGGTGGTGTTAGAGATGCTAGATGAATATAAAGGTGCCATTGGGAGTTACAAATTCCAGAAGAATTTATAGATACCATGTGGAGTTTGATAACCCAAATGGAGCAAATTATGCTATTTAGAGTGAGACATGCCAGTTGGAATAGAAAATAATTAAATGCCAGATTAAATAAAAGATGATAGATAAGAGAATATACATAAAACACAGGATAATAGAAATAGTAAAACACATGGATCATTTAATTCCAGATGGTATAATATATGACAGATGGAATAACAGATGCCAAGTGGAATTAGAGACTACTGAACTCACCTTTTTGACATAACTCTCCTCCCAGAACTGCGGCCGTCTACCGTGTTGAAGATAATCATTCAATTTGATGACATCCGTGAAGCGAGGATCGATTTGTTTACTTTTGCCCGTAGGGTTCGGATTTGCTGTAAAAATGTACCTTAGTTAGTTACAGTGAGTTACATTTGATAAAAAATTTACTATCATGAATGTAATGAATGTTTTGGATGATGGAGGTTTCTGTATATAGGGTGATTGGTGAGATAAAAAAAATCGCGAATGGGATATACGCTATATTAAAAGTCGATTTAGTCCCGCAGTTAAGCTCGAATTTTAACATATCATTATTTTAACATCTATTTTTTCTATTTTGTCTATGGAAAAAAATGACGGTGACTATACAGGCTGTTACAAAATTATGAATAAAAATTGTTTTGACGTTCGAGTTTTCGAGTCCCCTGGTGACAAAATAACAAAATTTTGTTCCACAAAAAGGCATAGTTTAAACCAAAAACTATAGTTACAAAATGGGTAAAATTTATTTAATGAATTTCGAGATATTTCAATAAATGTATGTAGAAAACTTTAGAGCCCTCTAGCGTCCATACGAAGCAACTTTGATAGAGGTAACTTGTGTCAAATCATGTTTTCGACCAAGGAATCTGATTGTCCACACGTTTTCCCGGACATCCTGTATTAAATATTTACTATTTACCTTACTGTAACCACAATTTACCTAATTTTCAAGGGAATAATATAGTTTTTTTGGTGTATTTTACAATGAATGGTGTTTCGTGTGCGACTTACGTATAAGAGTGAATGGCTCACCGGCGGGCCCCGCAGGACCGGCGGTGGCGGCGGTGGCGGCGGAGCTGCACCCGGTGTGCACCGTGCTGTCCTCGGAGTCATCTGTCACACAATACCAAGTTAATAATATCCTAATTACTTTTAAATTAGTGTATTCAATAATATTTGGGATCTATGAAAAATGAAATGTCACGTGACAACCAAAAGATATGATTTTTTTAAAGAAAGTTGTATTTCTTAGTTTCACATTTGAGTCTATAAAGACAACACATTATGTTTAAACCATGTTAAAATATGTTCTATCCATTTCAAGTCACATTTAAATATTTTAAATGATGTTATAGAATCAAAAATAAAATAAATATAGCCATTTAAAGTTATGTTCTAACCATTTTAAAATGTTACAGTTATTTTAAGTTATGTGGAAACCATTTAGTTAAGTAGTTATGCTAATCTTTTTGAAATTATTGATACTATTTATTTTGTATCTTCAGGGAAAACCATTTTTATACGTTATAACCTTTTAAAATTATGTTTCTACCATTTTAATATGTATTATTAGTATTTAAATTATGTTTTAGCCATTTTAGCATATGTTTTAGTAATTTTAAGTTATGTTTTAGCCATTTTAACAGATGTTTTGGCAATTTAAAGTTATGTTTTCGCCGTTTAGAGTTATGTTCTAGCTGGAGCGTCTCACCAGCACTATTGTCGCCGTCCACACGAAGACTGGTGCTGAGGAATGAGCCGATGTCCGCGGGCGCGTCCGCCCAGTCGTCGTCGGACCCCTCGCGCGACCACTCCCCGCTCTCACCCGCGCCCCAACTCACTACACGCTCCGCGGTTATATCCTATAGTTAAACAGATTTTTTAAAGACATATATGAAATATATAGACTAGAGATAATATCGATGGATGAAATGCTATTTGGTTAAATGTTCAGTATAGCCATTTAAAGTTTTCCTTCTAGAAAAAAAAAAAACATAAAAGCAAATCCTGAAAATAATTTCAATTGAAAGATTTTCAGACCGGTTCTAGGTTAAAATGACTATAATTCTGCATACTTCATTATTTACTAGCTGTTGCCTGCGATTTCGTCCGTGTGGTATTAGAAAACATACGAATTATATAAATAACAAAAAGCTACGTATCCCTCGGGAACCGGACATTTCTCGGGGAACACTTTATTTTATATCTGTGCAAAATTTCAATAAGATATGTAGAACCGTTGCAGAATGATCGAATAAACATTAAAAAACTAAATTAATGAATCCCACGGAAACCGTAACTATTCCCGGGATAAAAAGTAGCCTGTGTGTTCTTCCAGACTATCGTTTACATCTATACCAATTTTCCACGAAATCCATTCAGCCGTTTAGGCTACAAACTCTAACAAACATCCATCTAAACTTTTTCATTTATAATATTAGTATGAAGTATTAATGACATCTATTGGCATAAAAAAAGTTCCCTGTCTCCTCTCTCCCTGTCCATATTTCTTATATATTTGTATGTTACCGTAAAACTTTAAAGATTAGACAAAGTTACATAATGAATTGGTTATTGTCGATGTATTTAGGTTTAAATGCTTACCAAATTCCCATGCTGCCATTCTTGTTCCCTGTAAAAATATTATTTCAAATATTTAGTTTTTATAAGCGTTTTTATCTTTCAGCAAGAAAGGGAAGACCAAAACAATTCAATCGTGGTAAGAAACCCGTATCTTACGAACATTATATTTGTAAAAACCACGACAGTTTAAAGTTATATAAGGGAAGACCAGTTTACCAGAAGGGGGGGGCTTAGATAGAAGCAATATTCTGTGTCCCCTCTTCTGACAATTAAAGGTAAGCAAAGCAATTATGAAAAAACATATATATGAGCGAAGTCGCTTCGCTATTTTGGCGAATTTAAGTGACATCTTGCTCGTGTATCACCTCGAATTATAATTGACAGTGACTGTACAGGAGGTTGCAAAATTATGTTTGAATATTATTTTGGTATTCGAATTTTCAAACACACTGTAGATTCTATTACAGGGAGCTATTCTACAAAAAGGTGTATTTTAACAAATGTTATGGTTAAAAAAACTTTGAAGTCCCAAGGAATTGGATTATTCTCGAGCAAGAAATATGTATATACATAGTGACGTTATTCGAACATCCTGTATATTAATAAACTAGCTGTTCCCGTGCGGCTTCATCTGCATGAAATTATGAAAATTTTATTTTATTGTTTACATTTGTCAAATTATCAATTACAAATGTCAAAATGACATTGCATGATGACAACCTTGCTTCATTGATGTTGGCAGCAACTTACGGTCTCTTTCCCACATTAGGGTTTTTATCCAAAATATTTACCCCTAAGTTTAATTGCGTGAAAATGTATAGCCTAAAGCGTGACGTAAGTGTATGGCTTTTTATTAAAAAAGGAATTATTCATAAATATGGTGTTATTGCTGACATCTTAGGCAACAAAGAAGTGTGTGTTTACGCTTTATTATAATAGTATAGTTACTTACGTTTTAGGTGTAAGAGCCTCTTCATCCGTATTCTCAGTTCCACTGGTAAGTCGTTTTCTTTTAGGACTTGGACTTTCACTGAAATCAAATAAAAACACTTTATTAGTCACTAGCTGTTGCTCGCGACTTCGTCCGCGTGGAACTTAAAAACATGAAAAAATACAACCTATGTTTCTAATTGATAACGATGGTTTTTTAAATGCAAGAATTTGAAATAGTTCCAGTAGTTTTTGAGTTATTTCAATACATACAAAAATACAAATTTTTCCCCTTTCATCATTAGTATAGCAGTATATTTAGCTAAATATCCGACTTGAGTAGCAAAGGAACGTGTTATATCTTTTCTGCCCAATCCATACCCTTCTCCTTAATTTCAAATATATTTTACTAGCCTTTTTCCGCGACTCCGATCGCGTGGAGTTAAACAATCAAAAAGTAGTCTATGTTTTCCAGACTATCCTCTACATCTATGACTTTTAGTAGATCTGCTTAACAGTTTAGGCTACATCCATCCATCCATACCTCCGCTTTTATCTTAGTAAGATTATTTATGTTATAATTGCGGGTATTTTGAAAGATGAATGTTTGTCCTTATTACAAGCTCGAACATCCATCCATGCTAAATTTATAATATTAGTAAAAGTGGTAAATATTTTAACAGTGGTAGAGCCCGCTTTATCATCTTCGCACTGCAGGGCCGGCTCGCCCCCAATAATACCACGACCACACAGAAAACAGGCGTGAAGTGGAAGTAATTCCGCGTACAGTCTGATGAGTGGTGCCGGAGGCCTAATTTTATCCCTTTCCCTTTCCACCCTTCTCTTAAGAGGAAAGGATGGGAAGTAAATGTGGATTTAACAGTGGAGGAGACGCATAGGAAGGGGAAATGTCCTCTTTATGTGCGTGTCCTCCGTCAATGAAGGGTAGGCAACGCGTCTGCAATTGCAGATGTCTTTGTGCAGCGGTCGCTTTCCATTTCGGTGGATTCAGGGGGCCGCTTGCAAGTTTGCCAACTTAAATTGTAAAAAAAAAAGTAAGATATCTTACGTATCCGAAGTTTCTCTTTTCAATGGACTCGTTTTTTCTATCAACGGCAACTTTATTAATGGCGGAGGTCCTCCTAAGGTAACAAAAGTTAAATGTTAATTAAATTTAATCAACCGGATTTTATTTTATTCCCAACCGTCACCTCACTGTCCCCGCGTGGGAACAAATGAGAATAAAGTTCAATACGTCCCATTTTGCGACGAGGACGGTTGGAACTCATTTTATTTCATAACGGTTCCATCTGTCACATTGGTGATAGTGGGACTAAAAAATGGGACGGATGAAACGTTTTATATTTAGTGGGGACAGAGCGGGGTGACGGTTGGGAATAATCCAATCAACCTACCAATCTTAAACAAAGACAATTAATTAAACAAACAGATTACTTTTACTAAATGACTTATAGACATACAAAGATCTTTGACCAGGTTAAACGCTGCCTTCGATACGAAATTTGGAAATCTACTTTTGTCGATTTACAAATTATGTGCATAGAAAATGACAAAAAATTGACAAGACAGCTACTGTACAAAAACAATCTTGACATTTTGACATTGACAGTGGTTAGAGAGCTGTCATAATTTAGTTTAATTTACGCACACAGGGTCAGATGTAAATTAACTTAAGTTTAATGGCCTGTCCCACTGGCTGCTAGAGGCTCAGATAGCTTAAATGACGTCACTGTTATAAGGTAAAAAATCCGATATTTCCATCACTTTTACACGTTAGATTGTTAGATACGATTAGACAATTTTCAATTTAGTGGGACAGGCCCTTATTGTCTTAAATATTTATTAATCTATGTTATATTTATGTTGATGTTGTTAAGTATATTCTTTGGTATTTCCTTTAAATTTTACTATTTTCAATCTATTGGTTATCATAGACATAAAATGCCCTCCTGAGTCGGGCAAAAACTTACCGTTTATATTAAATTTCTCCGTTGGTTTAGATTCTTTATTACTCTCAGTAACGCTCGTCTCCGTATCCCGTTTACTCTGAAACCTGTCAGCTGTCTCCGTTCTGGTGTCTGTCGGTCTCTCAGGTCTGGACTCGGTCGGTCTCTCAGGTCTAGATTCGATCGGTCTCTCCGGTCTGGACTCCGGCGTGCGTCTTTCCACGCTGGTCTTTTCTGTCTGTTTGTCTGTATCTTGGGTGACAGTTGTAGTCGTGATTACGCCTGTAAAAAAAGTTTTTTTTTAGGGGATTTAGGTATTACATTTTTCATAATATATTTTAACCGTCCTCTTTGTTTGTGTCCCTTTCTCTGTCAATCAAGGAAGGTAACGCGTTTGGAATTGTTAGGGCAGCGATCGGTTCTCTCTTTAAACAAATTCAAGTAGTGGTCGCCTATTACAAGAAATTTGACAATAATTCATAATCCATACTAATATTATAAAGAGGAGAGATTTGTATTTTTGTATGTATTGAAATAACTTAAAAACTATTGGGACGATTTCAAAAATTCTTTCACCATTAAAAAGCTACGTTATCACTGAGTAACATAGGCTATAATTTTTTTTAATTTCTCATCATCTTTCGTCTCCACAATTACCTTAACTTCGTCACCGTATTCATCAGTTTGCGCCATTATTAGGTATACCGGTATGAAGTGAGCTTCAAGATACAAATATCTCGATAGAGAACATTTTTTTAAATGACCCTTTATTTTTTTTGTTTGCTATGAAATATCATCTCCCCTGCCTTATTCTACTCCCGTAGGGTCGGCGCACCGTGCTTTCGTCCTCCAAAGCACTCTATCATCCGTCATCTCAGTCATCACTCCCTTTTTGATCATGTCACCTTTCACGCAATCCATCCATCTCTTTCTAGGTCTACCTCTACCGGTGTACCTCCACAGTCATAACTAACGTCCGTCTTGTTACATGCGATTCATCCCTTCTCATAACATGCCCATACCACTCTAACCTTTTACGCCTTATTTTCTCAACCACTGGGGCTACTCCAAACTTCCTCTAGTAAAAGTTTGCTATGACATCTTTGAAACATATTTAGTCTACAAATCATTGAACAGACAACATCTCATTTTTTTATCGTGTTAAAAATATCGAATTTTGTACCAGAAAGTGATAGACCAGTGGTAAAAAGAGGTAATTCTAGGGTGTTCTAGAAGGCACTCACCAGTTTCACAGTCGGGCGGTTCACCGTTGTTATTTACCCGTAGATGCGTCAGACCTTTGATCCTCAACTCCTCTGCGGTCTTAAGAAGACTCGCCAACTGCGACTGGAAACACGTTAATGATGTCACAGTGGCTAACTAGGGTAGACCATTTTTTTTATGAGCAACTCTGAGCTGCCCTCTTTTTTTTTTCTTTATGAATTCTTATAATACTAATATTATAAAGAGGAAAGATGTGTATTTTTGTATGTATCGAAATAACTCAAAAACTACTGGGCCGATTTTAAAAATTAATTCACCATTAGAAAGGTAATTTATCTGAGAGTAACATAGGCTATATTTCATTTTTGCTAATTTTTAGGAACTATTAATAAACAGCATATTTCTGGACCACGGCGTTAAAAAATCACAATGTTTTAACTTCTCTCAGCTTACGCTGCCTAAACCGTTAGAGGTATACAAAAATGATATATGAAAAAATTGTAGATCTCAAAAGGTTCTACAGAAAAGTCAGCAATAGCATATATCTATCTTTAACGGTTTTCTTACAATAACCACTTTTTGTTTACAAAATGAATTAAAAGCCGCACATTATTTGCGGCGTTCTTTGGTTTCAATATTAATCCTTATCCAAATTCTTTAACGAGATAGACTTACGTGATGTACACTCATTTCCCCAGTATACATGTAGTCGAGCAGTGCTCGTAGATGCCGAGGCTCCGCTCCATCTATTACCAGGACTGGCTCCCCATGCGCCTCATGGGCGCCCAGCAGAGCCGCCAGCAGTTCTGAGCATGCTGCTAGCACCACTCTGTAACACAGTTGTAACCTCATATATATATACTCTTATAATAAATCGTAAACACACACTTTGACGACTAACAAGTCAGCAATTAGAGCATATTTTTTAATAATTACTTTTTTAATAAAAACCCCTACACTACGTCATGCTTTACGCTATATATTTTAACGCCTTTAAACCTAGGGGTAAATATTTTGGATAAAAACCCTAATGTGGGAAAGAGACCATAAGTTGCTGCCAACATCAAGGAAGAAAGATTGCTAAGGTTTGTCATGCCATTTTGACATTTGCTATTAATAATTTGACAAATGTAAACAATAAAATAAAATTTTCATTATTTCATGCGGATGAATCCGCACGGGAACAGCTAGTTAGTACAGAAGTATTCAACACGTATTGACACACATGGCCGCCTACGTATTGTAACCTCACATGTAGGTCTCTAATGGACCTCAAGTGTTACTGAACGGCTATAAACTAGCGTTGAATTATCGACCTTCAGTTAATACCAGTGTCAGTTTGATTTATGTTGACAATTAACCGATATCCGTCGCATGGAAAGAACACATTAATAAAATCTATTCTGTCTTTAAAGAAACCTACTAACAAAGACATTTAAATAATATATAGACGAGGCAATTTTTTTACCAGTTCTTTCTCTGAAAGGTTGTCAGTTGTCAAGTTTAGTGCCACCTCGTGTCTGTATTAACATGTTATAAAACATTTTACAAAATGAAAAGGTCCATCTTTAGTTATAAAATAAACTAAACAGTACCGCTATTATAATAAAGCGTAAACACACACTACTTTGTGGCGTAAGATGTCAGCAATTACTGCATATTTTTAAATATTTTTTTCTTAAAAAAATACTCCTTCACTTACGTCACGCTTTAGGCTATATTTTTTCACGCTATTAGACTTCGGGGGTAAATAGATTGGATAAGCAACTTAATGTGGAAAAGGGACCATAAGCCACAAGCTACCAACATCAAGGAAGTAAGAATGCTTTGTCATGTCATATCATTTTGACATATGTAAAAAATAAAATAAAATTTGCATAATTTCATGCGGATGAAGCCGCACGGGAACAGATAGTGTGAAATATACTATAACAAGTGAATAGGCATATAGAGTAGGCTTGTGTCAAGTATGTCCACTCTATATATTTGAAACTCTTTGCGTACCAACAAAAATATCTGTTAAAAGTGACTTAGTAGACCGACAAAATTATCTGACCCGATAGACATAAATGACACTAAATTACAATAGCCAACTAGCGCTCCCTACAATGTCACAAGTTACTTTTCGATCTGAACTTGTCTTTACTGAATCATATGTGTTCAAGGAGTTTTTACGTTTTGAGGTCTCAATCCATTAGAAAAGAAGAAGAATTTAAAATTAGAACACATTGTTGATGTCATTTTTTTCTAGTCTTTTTCTGGACATATTTTATCAATACCCATGTCTCCGTTAAAAATAGTTTTATTTCTAAATCTTTTACGGTATACAGTATGTTAGTATATGCTTAAGTAGGACTAACAGAACTAAAGCGACAGTGGTTCCCCCAAATATAATAAAGCGTAAACACACTATTTTGTTATGTAGGATGGCAGCAATTATAGTATACGAGCCGTTGCCCGCGACTTCGTCCGCGTGGTATTAGAAAACATACGAACTATATAAATAACAAAAAGCTACGTATCCCTCGGGAACCGGACACCTCGGGGATGAAGCTTATCCCATGTATACTCCAGACTTTGTTTTACATCTGTGCCAAATTTCAATAAGATATGTTGAACCGTTGCAGAATGATCGAGTAAACATTAAAAAACTAAATTAATAATTCCCACGGGAACCGTAAGTTATACCGGAGTAAAAAGTAGCCTATGTGTTCTTCTAGACTATGCTCTAAACCTGTGCCAAATTTCATGGAGATCCGTTCAGCCGTTTAGGCTACAAACGCTAACAAACATCCATCTATCCATCCATCCATCCATGCATCCATCCATCCATCTAAACTTTCGCTATAATATTAGTAAGATTTTTGAATACCACACAGAAGACGGGCGTGAAGTGAGAGCAATTTCCTGTTTTGTTGAGTGTGGTGCCGGAGACCCAAGATTAGCCTCTTTTCCTTCCCCGCCCTTTTTCTTACAAGAGAAGGATAGAAAGGGAACGTGAATTTGACGGTGCAGGAGACGCATAGGAAGGGGAAATATCATCTTTATGTGCGTCTAATCCTCCTTCGATTAAAGGTAGGCAAGGCATCTGCGATTGCGGATGTCTGGGCAGCGGTCTCTTCGACAGTTTGGCGGATTCAGGTGGCCACGCGCTCGTTTGCAACCTTACGTTAAAAAAGGAATAATTCTTTTATTATTAAATGCCCCTGGAAAAATGCGCTCTGCGAAAAAAGGGAAACTACAAGCCAATATTATCAATCAAGCTTATAGTTACTAAAAGTCTAAACCAACAGCAAAATTCTTTATTATTATTTGAGAATTTGAAGTTTTTATGTCATACAGGTAGGTAGGTACAGGTGAGCTGTCCCCCTCATGCTTTTTGTGGGGCATGTTCGATATAATTTAATCCATTGTTTAACGTAAAACAGTACCACCCACATAAACCAGTTTGGAAAACTATTCCGTGAATTGCTTAGTTAATTTAATTGGTCATCGGAGACACTCGTTAACAGGTCTATAACATGCGCAGTTTAAACTGTGGTAGAACCGGCCCTTGCAGGGCTACCACGAGAGCTCTGTGAAGTCGGCTTATTTCTCATCTTTAAGGAAAACATCGTGATGGATGGATCTGGGAAGAAATTTAGTTGAATGAATTTGAACGTAAAGCAGTGGTGGGGTGTTTTACTAAGGTTGGTCTAACTTAGCTTAAGGGCTAAAGGGCCCCACCAACGGTTCCCGCCTTGTCGTGGCGGTGGGGCTCAGTAGCCTGGTACGTCGAGGGTCTCCGGACCACGGTGAAGCCAAGAGGAACCATGGCCGGCTTAGCGGGGCAGTTCACGCCGGTTGGCCAACCGGCTGGCATGACGCCGGTCTAGTGGGGAGGTCGCGCTCAGGCACCCAACCTGAGCGCGCCTCCTGGGCACTGCCGGCCCATGCGGCCAGCAGTTTTGGGGGGAGGGGGGCCGCGGGGGCTGTGAGTTGTTGCGGGTTTATCCTGCCATCTTGCAGCCCTCGTGGCCAGAGGAGGTGGGCCGTGGGGGCTGTGGGATGGATATGGTTTTGCCCTGTCCTCTCGCAGCTCACGTGGTCGGAGGAGGTGGGCCGCGGGGGCTGTGAGTTGGGTGCCGGTTTATCCCGCCCTTCTTGCAGCTCTCGTGGTCGGGGGCATGGAAGCACGACTTCGAACGTGCGATCCTGGCGGCACCAGCGGGCGAGACGGGGTCTCCGAGCCTACATTGAAAGGTGCTGTCTTCCGAGGGGCGCTATTGGGACGCATCGAGGGCCTCTTCCCGGGGCGGTCAGTGGGGCGTCGCGGTGGCAAGCGAAAGCGATCCCGTGGCGCCTCACATATTGCCTAGGAGGGAACGAAGGGGTTTAGGGAGGTATGTCCTCCACTATGGGGGGAGAATCCCACATAACTTACGTGTCTGCCCCGAGGCACGGAGTATGCGTAACGCATTCCACTTCGGAAAAAAAAATGGGCTAAAGGGCTCGGTCACGGACGTAAGCGAAAACGTGCCCGTGGCCACGGTCTATGTCCATCTAAACTTTCGCATTATTAGTATGATAGAAGTGGCAACCCTATGCCCTAGTGTTGAGTTCTCATATTAAAACATTAAATCAATGATTAAGTTCGATGCTAATCAGGAACTTTAGTGGCCGTACTATGAGACATTTATGTGCGTATACGAAGCGTCCGCTCGTAAAATGGTAGTTAAATTTCATGTTACCCAAAAATTTTATAACTTTTTATAGCGGACAGGTACATTATGTGAACATAATAATTTCTCTAAGCCATAATAATATAGATAAATTCGCAATAAATTGGAGCTTTGATTAGATTATGTGACGATTAACGCGATCGTTGGATGAATTAATATTTTTAATACTTAACACCATTACTGGTTCACCGGATTTCTTTAACGACTTTCTAAGAGGCTTTTATAGTTAACGAGCTGTTGGTCGTTCCACCACGTTCGTCTGCGTGGTATTAGAAAACATACAAACTATATATATATATATATTACAAAAAGCTACGTATCCCTCGGGAAGCGGACATTTCTCGGGGATGAAGCTTATCCCATGTGTACTCCAGACTTTGTTTTATATCTGTGACAAATTTCAATAAGATATGTTAAACCGTTGCAGAATGATCGAGTAAACATTCAAAAACTAAATTAATGAATACCACGGAAACCGTAACTATTCCCGGGATAAAAAGTAGCCTATGTGTTCTTCCAGACTATGCTCTAAACCTGTGCCAAATTTCATGGATATCCGTTCAGCCGTTTAGGCTACAAACGCTAACAAACATCCATCCATCCATCCATCTATCCATCCATCCGTCCATCCACCTAAACTTTCGCATTTATAATTATAGTTAATATAAGTCAACGTCAAACAAACCGCTTAGAGCGGGCGCAAAACTTGATCAAACTATCGCACAACTGTTGTCGATTGTTTAGTTGAACAAAGAAAAATAGAGTAGTGTGTGCACATTCATATAAGCTGACAGGAATCACAATGCGACTAAACAGTTGTGCGATAGATTAGTGAAAAGTGTATGCCCGATCTTTGGAACTGAAGCTAGGTTATTCATTAAAATGTTCTACTATTATTTGTTTGTGCGCTCAATTTGAAGAGCATAAGTGGTGTAGTTTCTTTGCCTCACACTTTGACTGCAGTTGCGACGGTAAGCGATACTCGTTGGCGTCTATAAGCGTTTTGTACGCAGATACGATGTCTGAACTTAAAAAGATTGGTTTGGGGTACGGACTACCGATCTTGCGGTCGATGGTTCGAATCCCGGTATTCGTCGATTTTGTTCAACTGTACCATGTCTTTTTCAATTTTTTTTTAAATTACAAGACACATTTTATACATTGGTTGGATTATCAACCGACTGCCAAATTTTTAACAGTGGTAGTGCCCGCTTTAACATCTTAGCACGAATGGGCCCGGCACGCGCGGTGTAGTACCACGACCACACAGAAGACAGGCGTGAAATGGAAGCAATTCCGTGTTTCGTCTGATGAGTGTGGTGCCGGAGGTCTAATTTAAGTCCAGTTTAAGTCTTTACCACCCTTTTCTTATAAGGAGAGGATGGAAAGGGGAAGTGGAATTGATGGTGGAGGAGATGCATAGGAAGGGGCATTATCCTCTTTATGTGCGTCTCCTCCTCCGTCGGATAAGGGTAGGTAAAATCTGCGATCGCTGATGTCTATGGGCAGCGGTCGCTTCGCCATTTTGGCGGATTCAGGTGGCCGCTTGCTCGTTTGCCACCTTATGTTATAAAAAAAAAATCGACTATTTAAAAAAATATTGAGATGCGTTTACAATTTAAGATTAGCGCCATCTATCAGTCTTCGTGTAAACCAAACATAGAGTCTGATAGCCAGAGAACTCAGGCTACTGTTAGTTATTGTCTGTTCTTACCTATGTGCTCTAAGAGACACGCCGCGTATATTCTCAGGTTCTACGGTGTCCTTGTTGGACACTTGCGTCGCAAAACTCGGTGAACAGTACAGGGTCACGTCGCAGAACCGCTCTGAAAATAGAAATTTATGCTAAGTTATTATAAGGATTTTAAACGCAAATTTAGACAATTAAGCCGGCTACACACCTCTGTTAAATTGAATAGTTGGAGTTTAAATTATATATGTGTGTAGGCGGCGGTAGTGACATCGAGATCTGATAATAATTCAGTTTGAAACATTAGTGTCACTTTAAAGAAAATAGATGGCGTAACTATCGTACTAATATTACAAATGCGAAAATTTACACGGATGTCTGTTAGAGTTTGTAGTCAAAACTGCTGAACCGATCTCGATAAAATTTGGCACAGATGTAGAGCATAGTCTGGAAAAACACATGTCCTACTTTTGTTCTTTTAATCCACGCGGAGTTGCGGGCAAAAGCCGGTATATATAAATCATTTACACTTATAACATTTAGGATTTTAATAGACTTCGTACAAAATATTTAACACCTCACTTAATTGACATTTAAAAAAATACATTAAAGTAACGATGCAATTAATAACAAGTCTAGACTATTAATCTAGACTTGTAAGAACTACGTACGGTAATCTGAACGTATGAAAAAACGTAATCCAGTTTTTAGTTTATTTAGATCTTATCTAGCCTAGGTGCGGTCAACATGACTAGGTGAATGTAAAGAGTAAAACCGTTAGTTTCCACTTGTATTAATTTTCTGTCTATAAATGCTTTTTTAAGGCAGTGGCAATTCAGTAAAAAAAAGCGTCTTGTTTGTCTAAATAAGATAGATTAGTTTGATAAATGACGCATATGACGTATCGAATTAAATTTGTATGAAGGAAATGCTGTACTTAATAGACAGGTATCGTAGTGTAACAAACACACAGCGAACAATTATGAACTATCGATATTCGGTTTAAATAATTATCGAACTCGACTAAAATCATTTTTTTTTATTAACTAATTTAGAGGACGATTCTAGTATTGATTGTAGTGTAGAGAATTTAGCGATGACAATAATAGCGAAATCCAATTCGATTACGTACGGCTGTAGTAGTAATAAACATTTATTTACTCTCATTATTTGTAATGGTTGTGCAGGTCGTTACTAATTTGAGAAAACATTTTTTTATTTCATATGTTATGACGATGAATCTATCGATTCCAACTTCTATAAGAATAAAAATCGAAAATCGATAAGATTCTTGACTGATTTTACACAACCCATCCCTACTAAATTTGAAATGAATTGTCAAACTAATATATCTTATTTAGACAAACTATAAAATATATATGTTTTCCGACAAAAGTAACCGCGACAAGTCCCTCTCACCTGACCCGTGTTCAGACTATACAAGTTTGTTTAAATAAACATTCCGAGTTAACATTTTAGATAAGAAATTGGATTTTTCTTATAATAAGATCGTTTGTGAACATCACATCCGTTCTAAAGATTGATTTCCCACGCTTTTTGCTAATTGAAAAAGGTCAAACATAACCTCAAAATGTATCTTTTCGAGCCCCAACATTTGATTGTGCTTTATTATCTTTTATCTGTATAAATGATTATTTTCACTACGTTTTCGGACTTTTTTTATCTTAATTTCGATGTCTTTTCGATATTTTTCTCGTGGGAGCGAAAGTTTAACTTATAATATACAAATTTCTTCATTAATATAATCTTTATAACGGCGAGTCTTCACAATAACACCTGTTTAAAATATTGCGTTAAGTTTTTTTATCTGTCAAGTCTTGATCTGTTTAAAACTGAATGCTGATTTATTGGATAGTAACGTTTTATTCCTTTTTATTCTGAAAAAAAAAGAAGAAAATGGGAGAATTTCTAAGTGGCCTATGTCAAACTAGGACACACAGATAATAAATAACAAATCAAACAAAACGAAAAAAAGTGATAATAAAATTTAATTAATTAATATAATGTATCAGTAATTATCTGAATAAACGCTTTTATTATTAACTTTTTATTTCACGCAACGCGGATCCACGCGGGGCATGGGGGTCATGAGCCCCCCCTGACCTGTTCCGTCAAGATCTTGACTTGATCACGACTATGAGACCCTCCTGGCGCCAAAGCTGAATCCACCCTTGATTCCACGCTGTTGTAGTCGCGGGCAACAGCTAGTCGTAAATTTTATGCGAGAGTTTAGATCAGTGACTCCTAAATTGGTATAGAGGGACGATTAGAGGTCCACAGCTATACACTAAATGCTTTGGGTCCCATCGTGAACCACAAAATGTAAAATTGGGTACCTCTGATTTAGATGAATGTTAGCACGGTTTAAAAACGGCTGAATGGGTCTGGATGAGTAATGAATGAATGAATGAATATGTATTTATTGCCACAAAAAAAAATTAAATAAAAAGACTTATTCTAAAGAAAACACAATTGTGACAAAAGGTAGCCAGCTCAGTATGCAGGAACTAAGCCGTTCCTTATGATATCTGACACAGAGAGATGGTTGTATTGCGTAAAAGGTGACATGATCAAGAAGGGAATGACTGAGCTGACGAATGATAGAGTTTTTTGGAGGACGAAAACCCGGCGCGCCGACCCTAAGGAAGTAGAATAAGGCAGGGGAGATGATGAGATGACACAGAGTTACATTACTTCTAAGACAGGCAACAGCTATATGAATAAAAACGCGCACAACTTTGACTAAACTGTCGCATAACTGTTTATTATCGCTTTGATTTCTTTGAGCTTATTAGAGGCGCAAACTACTCGATTTTCAATTAAAGTATTGGCGAAACAATCGACAATCGCACAACAGTTGTGCGAGAGTTTAGTCAAGGGTGCTCTAAACTGACTCGGTTATTCATACGCAAGGAGTGGCATAAACATGATTGCAGACACTTTATACGCTGACCTTGTTGACGGCGCACCTATTATATCTTTATCTAGTTCTATTTCAAAGCCGTTATTTACAACTATAAGACATTTTTTTTTATAAGCAACTTCCCGCAATTCGCGCGGAATAAAACAGTCAGTCCTACCAAATTCTTGCAAATTGTCTGCTAACAATCCATTTAAGATATGTGATGGAAATATCGGGTTTTGTTACCTTATCTGACAGTGACATTCTTAAGCTATCTGAGCCTCTATCATCCAGTGGTGGGACAGGCCCTAAGTAGGCTGTATTCTTCCAGATTGTTCCGGGTAATCTACGAAACGGCTGGGCCGATTTCAACCTGACTTTCAAGGGTAGGTGACATAGACGGGCATATCGGCTACTTTTTTAATTCCGTGCTGTCAAAACTGCGTGACGTACGGGCGACAGTTCGTTCACATAATAAATAGAAGTACACACACTAATACACTTTAATATCGCGTACTTAAACAAAATACAGTCGAATTGAGTACATTTTTTGGGAAATAGGTCAAAGAGGGCGCTGCCATCAGAGAGAACTTAAGGAATTCCTTCTGTCGTTGCGAGTTGCATGTCGATAAGTTCACACGTTAAAAATAAAACAAAATTACTAAATTAGGGTTTTATATCTCTGATATAGTTGATTAAAAACATAAACCCAATTTAATGGAGGGTGTGATCGTGTGAAAAAGGTAAATCGATACTAATATTACTAATAAAAGAGATTTGTATTGTTGTATTTTTGTATGTATTGAAATAACTCATAAACTTGTATGGACATGTTATGCGACGATACGATGGGGACATAAACCTGAAAGTGAATGAATGTGGATGGCTACAAAGGAAGAGGAATACCGAAATATGGATGGATTGTGTGAAAGAGGATATGCTTAAGAAAGGAGTGGCTTCAGATATGACGGCTGATGATGTATGGAAGAGCAGCACATACTGTGCCGACCCTCCATAAGGGATAAGGGCAAGTTGAAATAACTCAAAAACTACTGGACCCATTTCAAAAAGTCTTCCACCATTATAAAGAGACGTCAAAACAAGAGTTATACGAGACGTCAAAAGTAGAATTTTATATTTAACGTGGCATTTAAACTTTAAATACTGTTACATATTGTATGCCAGGTTCCTAAAGTTTCCACTTAACAACCAAGATATTCATAAACATTAGGCATGTTCCAACGGGGTGTAACTCAAATTACATGCTTCAAAACGCATTTAATTTTATACAACACTAGCTGTTCCCGTACGGCTTCATCCGCATGAAATTACGAATTTTTTTATTGTTTACATTTGTCAAATTATCAATAGCAAATGTCAAAATGATATGACAAGACATACCTTGGCAATCTTGCTTCGTTGATGTTGGCAGCAACTTATGGTCTCTTTCCCACATTAGGGTTTTTATCCAAAGTATTTACCACCTAAGTTTAAAGGCGTGAAAATAAATAGCCTAAAGCGTGACGTAAGTGTAGAGCTTTTTAGTAAAAAAATAATTATTCAAAAATATGCTATAATTGCTGACATCTTAGACAACAAAGAAGTGTGTGTTTACGCTTTATTATAATAGTATAGACTAACGAATGGAAATGTAGTGAATCCGGCTATACATGGTTGCAGTACAACCGTCAAAAATCAGATTCAAACAGAATATAGATTAACTTCCAACGGGTTAGATAACTTTGACTGATTCCTAACACGTCAGATATGACATCTAAACGTGTTACATGTCAACACGTAGCATACATACGTAGTGTGACATCCATCACTGCTTTTCCTTCTTATCGATATAATGACGTGTTAAACAAGTAATTAGCATCAGAAGCGAGAATCGGAGTTATATATGTCGATATATCGATATCGATAAGGGCATAATCACTTTATAGAAGTTAAGGTTTTAATTTGTTTACCAGCTAGAGACCGTGACTTCGCGTCGTAATTTTCAAACTACGCATTCAATTAATGACATATTTAGAAGTGTAGATTTTGTGGGTTTTCGGCTGTAACCAACATAAAATATCTAATTTCGATAGAGTTTTGCAATTGTTTTTTATTTGCGAAATCGGATTTTGGTGTCTAAAACTGAACCGATTAAAAAGAAAACAGTTTGTCTAAAAAGCTCATAAATTACATAAATAACTTTAACTAAATGA